CCCGGCGAGGCTGGCCGCGCCGCGCCACGCGCTCTGGGTGTGACCCGTCCGCCTGCGCGGCCCCTCTCCTCCCCTCCTCCTTCGGCCGCCCGCCCTGCACCCCATTTCCAGCCTCTTGCACTGTGGCACCACTCGCTGCAACGGTGCCCCCGTTTCGTTAGCCCTCCGCCAGCGCAGTTACTCTGCCTAGCTGCCGACGCAGAAAGTCTTGGCGCTGCTCCTCCTCCTCCTCCTCCTCCTCCTCCTCCTCCCTCCTCCTCCTCCTCCTCCTCCTCCTCCTCCTCCATTGTTGGGTCCGGGGCGCACCGTGGCCCTGCGTGAGCCTTGGGGGGTGTTCGGCCGGGCCGCCTCCGTGGGCCCCGGGGCCATCACACACATCAGTCTGGGGCGGGGGGCGACCTCCGGAGACAGGGGTCGAGGCCTCGAACTGCCGCCAGAAGCCGCCTCGACCCTCCTCCTCCTCCTCCTCCTCCTCCTCCTCCTCCTCCTCCTCCTCCTCCTCCTCCTCCTCCTCCTCCTCCTCCTGAAACGAAGGTCGAGACCTCTGGTCGATTCGACTGGTGCCTGGTGGCAGGCGGCGGGGCGACGAGAGTTTTCGTCGGGGATCGATCGAGGTCCAAGTGCGTCGGGGGTCGGGGCTCGAGGCTTTCCTATGTGAGGGTCCTTTTGGGGCCTGTCGGGCTCCTGGGCTTGTGCAGGCCCCGTGCACTTCCAAGTCGCGCCTGCCGAGGCTTTGCAAGAACCGCCACTGAGCACACATGCGCTTTGTGCGCTCTGGACTGTTCCTCATGCTTCCAGGGCGTCGGGCTCTGCTTTGGCTCCTGGGCGATCCAAAACGGCCCGGGACGAAACGCATGTCCCGGGGAAGGGAGGGGCGATGGCCCCAGGCCCCACGCCGTGAAAAAGCGACGACGTCGGAGGCCTCCTCCTTCTCCTCCTCCTCCTCCTCCTCCTCCTCCTCCTCCTCCTGCTCCTTGTCCCCCTCCTCCCCACCTGCTCTCTCCTCCTCTCCCTCCTCCTCTCCTCCTCTCCTCTCCTGCTCCTCGTCCCCCTTCTCCTCCTCCTCTCCTCCTCCTCCTCCTCCTCCTCCTCCTCCTCCTCCTCCTCCTCCTCCTCCTCCTCCTCCTCCTCCTCCCCCTCCTCTCAGAGGACGTGGCGTATGGTCTCTCCAGGTGGGCTGCCCCCCTCCGAAGAGAAGCGGCCCGCCCTCCCGGAAGGGAAGCCCGGCTCCCCGCCCGCGGCCACTCTTTGGCGCCCCGGCCGCGGCACTGGTTCTCGATGGCGAGCAGCCTGTCCTGAGAAGATGCGGGCCCCAAGAGTATACAGTCGGGGTGGATTGAAGAGGATCCAGTCGGGGCGTTGACCTAAGGAACGATAAATGAGGAACAAAGCCCCTGTTTTCCCAAGTAGATCCAGGAAACCTAAAGGACTGCCAGGGGGGCTCGGCTCCCAAAAAGGAACGGAACGCATGCAAACCTAAGGAACGTCCGAGCCCCTTTCGGAACGTAAGTGAGCCTCATTCAACGCCCCGACTGTACGCGAGAGGACACAGGACTCTTCCGAGGGTAACACTGCCATATGAATACAGAGGCATGGGTCGCGGGGCACAGGACACAAGGGCACCCTTGATTTGGCAGGGTCGACCTACTAATCTGGCTCGACTGTACCCCAACACCACGTCGATTCCTCCTCCCTCCTCCACTCTCGTTCCTTCTCTCCTCCCTCCCGGAAGCGGGAAGGGAGGGGGGAGGTGGTGGCGATGTATGCCCTCTGGGCGCAGCAGAAGAGGAATCGACGTAAAGATGGGTTGCTGGAGGTAGAAGAGGCATCGACGTACAGAAAAGCTGCTGGAGGTCCGCGCGGATCTCTTGGGTCGGTGATGGCCCCCCCTCCTTAAGGACCCTCACAGAAGAGGCTTTGGTACACAAAGGGTAGGTCGGGCATGTTCTTCTACAGGGGGGTTTTGGCCGAACGTTAAAAATAGCAAAACCAAGCATGAACATTCAAGTCGAAGAGTAGAAGCATCGTGTCCAGACTATGCTTTGACCGTTTCTGGCTACTCCTCCTGCAGATCGGCTGCCCAACTGTCAGACTGTGGATGGGCTGTCGGAGGTCCGCGCGGACCTCTTGGGTCGGTGGAGTGCCCCCCTCCATAGGGGCCCTTACACAGGGGAGGCTTTGGTTTAGGTCGGGCCTGTCCCCCTAAAGGGGGATTTTGGACGAAAAATACAAAATACTCAAAACAATGCTCCCAAATAGTCAAAAAAGGTCTGGGGACTATTTTTTTTGACAATTTTTGAACATTTGTTGAGCATTTCTGGGATATCTTTGATTTTTCGCCCAAAGGTCCCTCTGTAGGGGGACGCGCCCGACTTACGCTTTGGCGCCCCCCTCCTTAGGGTTAAGTCGGGCATGTTACCCTACAGGCCGATGTTGGGGCGAAGAATGAAACAAACCCACTAAAAATGCCCTACCAATGCCCACAGATGGTCAGACCATGGTCCGCCGACTATGTTTTGACTACTTCTGCACATTCCTCCCCTGTAGGGGGGACAGGCCCGACTTCACCTCAGGGGCCCTCACTTTGTGGGCCCCGGAAACGGCAGGGCCGTTTTTTTACCGTTTCCCTAAAAATGTCCCTTGAAAATGGAAACGGCAAAAAAAACGGCGACCGGAAACGGCAAACAAACGGCTCCACGATTGGAACCGGAGCCGGAACCGGTCAAAAAACGGCGACGGAACCGGTAAAAAAGCGGCGTCGGAACCGGCAACAAAAACGGGAAAACGGAACTGGTAATTATCCTGGCGAAAGACCCAACCATAAGCAATTGTTGGTAACGCGTTGTGGGTGCCGCTTTCGGTGGGGCTCCATATGGGGCCACGAAGCGCTGCCTTGGTTGGGGGAACCGCATGCGGACTGCGCCACCGGGGCGGGCCTTCGGTGGAGCTCCCTATGGGGCTACGAAACGCTGCCCTGGGTGGGGGAACCGCATGCGAACTGCGCCACTGGGGCCTTCGGTGGAGCTCCCTATGGTGCCATGAAACGCTGCCCTGGGTGGGGGAAGCGCATGCGAACTGCGCCACGGGGGCTTTCGGTGGAGCTTCCCATGGGGCCACGAAGCGCTGCCCTGGGTGGGGGAACCGCATGCGAGAGCAGCCATGGGGCCTCGGTAGTCTCCATATGGGGCCACAAAACGCTGCCATGCGAACACCCCCACTGGGGCTTTCGTGGAGCTCCCTTATGGGGCCACGAAACGCTGCCTGAGTGGGGGAACCGCATGCGATCCCCCCACTGGGCCTCAAGGGAGGCTCCTTAATATGACCTACGAAAAACGCTGCCCTGGGTGGGGGAACCGCATGCGAACACCCCCACTGGGGCCTTCGGTGGAGCTCCCTATGGGGACACGAAACGCTGCCCTGGGTGGGGGAACCGCATGCGAACACCCCCACTGGGGCCTTCGGTGGAGCTCCCTATGGGGCCACGAAACGCTGCCCCGGGTGGGGGAACCGCATGCGAACACCCCCACTGGGGCCTTCGGTGGAGCTCCCTATGGGGCTACGAAACGCTGCCCTGGGTGGGGGAACCGCATGCGAACACCCCCAATGGGGCCTTCGGTGGAGCTCCCTATGGGGCCACGAAACGCTGCCCTGGGTGGGGGAACCGCATGCGAACACCCCCACTGGGGCCTTCGGTGGAGCTCCCTATGGGGCTACGAAACGCTGCCCTGGATGGGGGAACCGCATGCGAACACCCCCACTGGGGCCTTCGGTGGAGCTCCCTATGGGGCCACGAAACGCTGCCCTGGGTGGGGGAACCGCATGCGAACACCCCCACTGGGGCCTTCGGTGGAGCTCCCTATGGGGCTACGAAACGCTGCCCTGGGTTGGGGAACCGCATGCGAACACCCCCACTGGGGCCTTCGGTGGAGCTCCCTATGGGGCCACGAAACGCTGCCCTGGGTGGGGAAACCGCATGCGAACACCCCCACTGGGGCCTTCGGTGGAGCTCCCTATGGGGCTACGAAACGCTGCCCTGGGTGGGGGAACCGCATGCGAACACCCCCACTGGGGCCTTCGGTGGAGCTCCCTATGGGGCCACGAAACGCTGCCCTGGGTGGGGGAACCGCATGTGGACACCCCCACTGGGGCCTTCGGTGAGCTCCCTATGGGGCCACGAAACGCTGCCCTGGGTGGGGGAACCGCATGTGGACACCCCCACTGGGGCCTTCGGTGGAGCTCCCTATGGGGCCACGAAACGCTGCCCTGGGTGGGGGAACCGCATGCGAACACCCCCACTGGGGCCTTCGGTGGAGCTCCCTATGGGGCTACGAAACGCTGCCCTGGGCGGGGGAACCGCATGCGAACACCCCCACTGGGGCCTTCGGTGGAGCTCCCTATGGGGCCACGAAACGCTGCCCTGGGTGGGGGAACCGCATGCGAACACCCCCACTGGGGCCTTCGGTGGAGCTCCCTATGGGGCCACGAAACGCTGCCCTGGGTGGGGGAACCGCATGCGAACACCCCCACTGGGGCCTTCGGTGGAGCTCCCTATGGGGCTACGAAACGCTGCCCTGGGTGGGGAACCGCATGCGAACACCCCCACTGGGGCCTTCGGTGGGCCTTCGGTGGAGGTCCCTATGGGGCCACGAAACGCTGCCCTGGGTGGGGGAACCGCATGCGAACACCCCCACTGGGGCCTTCGGTGGAGCTCCCTATGGGGCCACGAAACGCTGCCCTGGGTGGGGGAACCGCATGCGAACACCCCCACTGGGGCCTTCGGTGGAGCTCCCTATGGGGCTACGGAACGCGTGAGAGGTGTGCCGAGAGCAGAGGCAAGGAGGGGGAGGAGGGAGGAGGGCGAGGAGGAGGAGAAACGCGGGGCACCGTCTCTTCAAAACGAGGACCCAACACCACAGGATGGTTGGGAAAAAAACGGCCCTGTCGTTTCCAGGGCCCACTAAGTGCAGGAGGACGAAAAGGGGGCGGACAGGGCGGCCGCCGAGGCAGGCAGAGAAGAAACCACCGTGAGGGCCAGCGCTGGGCTCCAGGGGAGCTGCCTCAGCGCCACCAGGGACAAACAGGGCCACCTGGGAGGAGGAGGAGGAGGAGGAGGAGGAGGAGGAGGAGGAGGAGGAGGAGGAGGAGGAGGAGGAGGAGGAGGAGGACGAGGAGGAGGAGGAGGAGGCGGAGGAGGAGGGGGAGGAGGACTTCACCTCAGGCCCGACTTCACCTCACGGGCCCTCGCACCTAGCGAGGCCCTGGTGCACACAGGGGCTCCCGGGCGCGCCCGAGCCCACTGCGGCCCTGGGCCGCGCCGCTCTCCGGCCTTCGCTCCCGCCGGCCGGCACCCTCGGCCTCCAGCGCGCGGGCTCAGAGAGCCCGGCGCCCAGAGGCCTGGTCCGGGAGGAGGCGGGGGGAGGGGGAGAGCGGAGGAGGGGGAGGGAGGAGGGGGGGGGGGAGGCAGGGAGCGGAGGAGGGAGGGGGGGGGGAGGAAAGGGGAGGGAGGGGAGGGAGGAGGAGGGAGGAAGAGGGAGGAAGGGGAGGAAGGGCGAGGAAGGGGGAGGAAGGGGAGGAAGGGGAGGAAGAGGGAGGAAGAGGGAGGAAGAGGGAGAAGAGGGAGAGGGGGAGGGAGAGGGAGGAAAAAGGGAGGGAAGAGGGAAGGGAGGGGGAGGAGGGAGGAAGGGGAGGGAGGAGGAGAGGGAAGAAGAGGGAGGGAGAGGGAGGGATGGAGGGAGGGGAGGGGGAAGGGAGGACGAGGGAGGAGGGGAGGAAGGGGAGGAAGGGGAGGAAGGGGAGGAAGGAGGGAGGAAAGGGGAGGGAGAGGGAGAGTGGAGGAGGGAGGAGGAATCGACGTGGCGGCGGGGCAGGTTCCTGGGGCCCGCATGGCAGGCCCTGGCTCCGCGGGCCAGGGGGCTGCGCCGGCGTTTTCTTACTCGGCGTTTCGACCCTGGGCGGAAGGAGGAGGAGCGAGGAGGAGAAGGAGGGGAGGGGAGGGGGAGGGGGAGGAGGAGGAGGAGGAGGAGGGAGGAGGAGGAGGAGGAGGAGGAGGAGGAGGAGGAGGGAGGAGGAGGAGGAGAGGAGGAGGAGGAGGAGGAGGAGGAGGAGGCGGAGGAGGGGGAGGAGGAGGAGGAGGAGGAGGAGGAGGAGGTGGAGGAGGAGGAGAGGAGGAGGGGGGGGTTCTGGCTCAGGCCTCTGCTTGGTGCGACCATGTGCAACAGTGCGTCCCATGGGGGAGGCCCCGCTTCCTCGAAGCAGGCGCCCAAAAGACAGCCAAGCTCTACTCCATTGGGCAAGCGCGTCCCACTGCTTGCAGAGTCACTACTCGCAAATGGCCTGGATCCGCCGTGGGGTTTTACGATATGTTACATCGAGGCGAACATTTTCCGACGTTTGCGAGTAGGCACTTTGCGGATAGTGGAACGCGAGTTTTCGAATATAAGCGGGCTTGAGTTGTGACGGTCTGGTCATGAATCGAATTGCGAATGAATTGGAGTGTGAATGAGCCTCAGTAGTACGAGCGCGTCTCTGCGCATGAGCCTGGGCCCCCCTGGGGCCTCCTGAAACCTACTGGGGCTTCCTGGGGCCTCCACGAGCCTCTTGGGGCCTCCTGGGGCCTCCTAGGACCTCCCAGGGGGGATTCGTGCACCAGGAGAAGCCCAATCTATAGGAACAGACGTGCATAAAACATTGCGGATTGGAGCCACTTTTGTACACACCAGGCAGCTCGTGCGGCACGAGCCGATCCCGCCGCCAAAATGGCGCAAGCCGCAGAGTGCGGCTAGGAGGCTCCGCAAACAGCGGCCTCCAAAATGCAGCGTGCTCGCCACGCTGCGTGGGTGTGCGCCGTCAGGTGACCTCCACCCCGTGCCAAGCCTGAAAAGGCCCAGACCACCGTAGGCACTCCCCAACTCTGCTCGAACGCCGAGCAGCCGCGACAGCTCGAGGAGTGTCGCCGCGGCCGATGAGAAAATTAGCGATGCGCGCCAAGCACGGCGCGGAGCCGCATGCCGAGCAAGGCAATCGAGGCTGACTGCTCCGAAGGGCACGCTCGCCAGAGAGAAAGCGGCGTCCGCCGCCTACTGCTGGAGCTGAGCCTCGCGCCTCCGCTGCCGCTCCTGCCTGGCCCACGCCCTCCACGGGGAGCCTGGCCCGAACGTGTCGCGGAGCCAGAGGCGCCCAGCTTCTAGCTCGGAGGCTGAGGGAGCTGGAGGATCGTCGTCGCCGCCGGCGCCCTGCCAGCCCGGCCTCCGAATGTCGCGGTCGACCGTGAGGGCCACGGTTCCCGCGAAGACGTGGCGGCGCAGAGCCAGGAGCCGCTTGGGCCCACGCGCGGGTTCCTGGCGCGCCACCGTCTCCGAGCCGTGGATCGTGCAGCCGCCACCGACGCCGCCCTCGCCGTCCTCCTTATCGATCTCCCCGCCGCCAGAGCAGGAGCAGGAGCCCGAGGGAGGCGAAGTGAGGAGGGCGTCGTCGTCCAGGCTCCTGCCGCCGTTGCGCTGGGGCCCAGCCGCCTCCACGCCGTCGTCCGTGCCGAGGTGCGGGGAGAGGTCGAAGCCGCCGTGCGCCACGGCTTCTGAGGCCTGAGCCCTGTCGCCGTCCTGGTTGCGGGAGCCGTCCACCTGCATGCTGAAGTCGCCGTCGATGTCGCCAGCGGCCATCTCGCTGCCACCGCTGAGGACGGCAGCCTCGTTGGCCAGCAAGTACGCCGTGACGATCGAGGGGTCCGCGAAAGCAGAAGGCGAGGAGGTGCAGGCAGTGCTGCACGTCGCACCAGGAACAGGGAGGCGATGAGGAAGAACAGCACCACCTTCAGAAGGCCGAGGGGCAGGGTGCTCGCCGAAGTCGTCGCTTCTCTCAGGCCTTGCCAAGGCCGAGTCATCCAATCCCTCGACGCCAGCGTGCCACCAAAGCGGCCCAGAAGCCAGAGGGGCCGCAGTGGGAAGACCCGCGCTGCGCACGCGCTCGGCGAGCGCGAAGGACGCGCCAGCGGGCAGGCTGCGCCCGCGCCTGCGAGACACACACCAGCCCGTCGCCACTCCCTCGGCCGCCGAACGCTGGGCAGGCACGCAGCGGTGTGGAACCACTGCACCTGCAGGGCGAAGCTGAGGAAGAGCAGCACGACCACGACCACCAGCACCGCGTCCTTGCCGAGGCCGACAACCTGGACCACTACGCTGCAGCCGGTTGAGCGATGTCAACCTCATCTTCGCAATTGATGCGCCCCTCCTCGAAGCGCAATGCATGCCAGCATTCCGCCTGGCGGTGGCCAGCGGCGGCGCGCGCCTGCATGCTCCCGAGGATGTGGCCCCATCAACGGTGAGCGACGATGCAAGCTCGTCGCTGACGTCCGCGCCGAACGTGCCACACTGCGTCCCGCTGCTGCCGCCACAGGGGGGCGGCGCGGCGGGGGCAGCGCGAGGGACATAGGCGCCAACTGCAGCTGCGCGGCGGTCGGCCAGCATGTCCATCAGCACAGGCACGGCCAGGGCCAGCCGCGAAGCGAGCTCCTGGACCAGGACGTCGTCGGGGACCTGCTGGCTGCCGAGCGGAAGAGCCGCGATCCGCACGGCCTGCGCCGCCGCCTCTCCGCGCACCGCGCGGCAGTCGGCGAGCTCGGCCTCGAGCGTGGCGACTCTCGCCAAGGCAGCCGCCAGCTTCCCGTGGGCAGCACTGCGCGCAGCGCACTGGCGGGCGCGGCGCGCAGGCCAGAGAGAAGCCGCGGCCCCTCCCGCCTGCCGAGGCTGCTCGGCCGCCACAGGGGCAGCTTGGCAGCCGACCGTAGCCATCTCCCCAAGCGCCCGAACTCTGCGGCCTCCCGCGGGGCCCAAAACGAGAGCGAGCAGTACAGGGAACGGCTTGAGCCAAAATGGCTACGGAGGGATTGGAGCCACAAGATAATGGCAATCTATAGGAACACACGTAAAACACCAAGGACTCGTGCCCCAGGAGAGGCCCAATATATAGGGACATAAATACAACGTTTAGGATTGCGCACACAGGAGAAAGGCAATATATAGAAACATACGTATAACATCGAGGATTCGTGCTCCAAGTGAGGCCCAATTTATGGGAGCATACGTAAAACACATGGGATTGGAGCCACTCCTGCTGCCTTCTGAGGCCTCCTGCTCCTGGGGCCTCTCGGGGCCTCCTGTTGCCTTCCGAGGCCTCCTGACGCTTCCTGTGGCCTCCTGGGGCCTCCTGTGGCTTCCTGAGGCCTCCTGGAGCTTTCTGGGGCCTCCTGGAGCCTCTTGGGACATCCTGTGGCCTCTCGAGTCTTTCTGCGGCCTCCTGATGCCTCCTGGGACCTCATGCGGCCTCCTGGGGCCTGTTGGAGCCTCCTGTGGCATCCTGAGGAGAATCTGTGCCCACGAGTCTGGCCACCAAAACAAGCAAACCGATCGAGAAGTCCTCAAACTCTGGCCCACCTGGGAGGTGAACATGAGCACCTCGCTCGAGACATCCTCCAAATCTGCTCTCTAAACGAAGGATGTTGAGACAAGCAAACCGCTTGAGACACCCCCACAAAACAGCCGCGAACGGGACCGTGCAATACCCCTCGGCGGCTCCCTTTAGGTAGCTGAAACCAGCGCCCCGCCTGAGACATCCTCACAATCTGCTCTCCAAGCGAAAGATGTTGAGACAGAAAACAAGCAAACCGCTTGAGACATCCCCACAAAACGGCCGCAAACGGGACCGTGCTATACCCCTCGGCGACTCCCAGCGCCCCGCCTGAGACATCCTCACAATCTGTTATGTTGAGTAAGTCAGACAATTAGAAGGTCTGAATGTGAGTAAGTCTGGGTATGAGTGAGTCTCAGCATGAGTAAGTCTGAGTATGAGTAGGTCTGAGTATGAGTAGGTCTGAGTATGAGTATATCAATATGATCAGGTCTGAGTATGAATAAGCCAGTGTATGAATAAGTCGAGGTCTGAGGAGGAGGAGGAGGAGGAGGAGAAGAAGAGGAATGAGGAGTAGGAGGCGTCCAAGTAATAACAAGAACCCATCTGAGGATATAGGGAAGAACACGATCACTTAGTAATGTTCTGGTTCAGAGGGCCTTGACTCCAAAGGTCAGGGGCTGCGCCGGAGGCGCCGTCTCGGCGGGTCCAACGCCGAGCCCAACGGACCACCGCACGGACCTCCAAACGCTCATGCTTATGCCGCTTTTCCTGCTTCGGTGCGCGCGAGAGAACGAGTTCTGACCGTCGGTGTTGTTTTAGGTCGGGCGTGTCCTCCTACAGGCGGGTTTCGGAATAATTAGTTTGGCGACAGACACAACCATACGCTGTTGTGAGTAACACAGTTGTGAAATCGTTTTCGGTGGGCCTCCCTATGAGGTCACGAAACGTGTGATGGATGTACCGAAATGGGAACGGTGGGCGCATGCGAACGCGAGTGAGGGATGCACCGAAATCGGCGCGATAGCTCCATGCGAGCGCAGCCACTGGGGCCTTCGGTCGACCTCTTTTTGGGGCCACGAAACGTGTGAGGGTGTGCCGAACTTGGCGCGGTGGTGCAATGCGAACGCAGCCTTTGGGGACTTCGGTGGAGCTCCCTATGGGGTGGGGCCACGAAGCGTGCGAGTAACCAGTGTGCCACCACGAAACGTGTGAGGGGTGTGGTGCAAGCGAACGCAGCCACTTGGGCCTTCAGTGGAGCTCCCCATGGGCACATGGGGCCACGAAGCGTGTGAGGGGTGTGCCGAAATGGGCGCGGTGGTGCAAGCGAACGCAGCCACTTGGACCTTCAGTGGGGCTCCCCCTGGGGCCACGAAACGTTTGAAGGTTGTGCCGAAATGGGTGCGGCGGTGCCATGCGAGCGCAGTCACTCGGGCCCTCGGTGGAGCTCCCTTGTGGCCACGAAACGTGTGAGGGATGTGCCGGAATGGGCGCGTTGGTGCCATGCGAACGCAGCCACTGGAGCCTTCGGTGGAACTCCCGCAAGGGCCACGACACGTGTGAGGGGTCGGCTGAAATGGGTGCGGTGGTGCCATGCGAGCGCAGTCACTCGGCCCTCGGTGGAGCTTCCTCTAGGGCCACGAAACGTGAGGGGTGTGCCGACATGGGCGCGGTGGTGCCATGCGAGCGCAGCCACTTGGGCCTTCGGTGTGGCTCCCTATGGGGCCACCAAAAACGTGCGAGGGGTGTGCCGAAATGGGTGCGGTGGTGCCACGCGAACGCAGCCACTTGGGCCTTCGGTGGTGCTCCCTCAGGGGTCACGAAACGCGTGAGGGGAGTGCCGAAATTGGTGTGGTGGTGCCAGGCGAACACAGCCACTTGGGCCTTCAATGGGGCTCCCTATGGGGTCACGAAGCGTTTGAAGGGCGTGCCGAAATGGGTGAGGTGGCATGCGAACGCAGTCATTTGGGCCTTCGGTGGAGCTCCCTGTGGAGCCACGAAGCGTGTGAGGGGTGTGCCGAAATGGGTGCGGTGGTGCAAGCGAACGCAGCCTCTTGGGCCTTCAGTGGAGCTCCCCATGGGCACATGGGGCCACGAAGCGTGTCAGGGGTGTGCCGAAATGGGCGCGGTGGTGCAAGCGAACGCAGCCACTTGGGCCTTCAGTGGGGCTCCCCCATGGGGCCACGAAACGTTTGAGGGTTGTGTCGAAATGGGCGGCGGTGGTGCCATGCGAACGCAACCACTTGGGCCTTCGGTGGGGCTTCCTATGGGGCCTCGAAGCGTGTGAAGGGTGTGCCGAATCTGGTGCGGTGGTGCCATGCAAACGCAGCCACTTGGGCCTTCGGTGGAGCTCCCTATGGGGCCGCGAACCGTGTGAGGGGTGTGCCGACATGGGCATGCAGAGGTCAGAGGCACGCAGGGGGAGGAAGGAGGAAGGAGGAGAGGAGACTCGGGGCGCTGTCTCTTCAAAACGAGGACCCAACACAAAATGGTTGTGACAAATTTTCCTGGCACCGGACCCAACCAGATGTACTAGTGAATGCAGCGTTGTGGGTACCGCCTTCGGTGGAGCTCCCTATGGGGCCACGATCCTCGTGAAGAGTGTGCCGACATGAGCGGGGGGGACGCATGCGGACGCTGCCGCGGAGGCCTTCGGTGGAGCTCCCTATGGGGCCGCAATCCTCGTGAGGAGTGTGCCGAAATGAGCGGGGGGGCGCATGCGGACCCTGCCGCTGGGGCCTTCGGCGGAGCTCCCTATGGGGCCGCGATCCTCGTGAGGAGTGTGCCGAAATGGGCGAGGGAACGCATGCGGACCCTGCCGCTGGGGCCTTCGGCGGAGCTCCCTACGGGGCCACGATCCTCGTGAGGGGTGTGCCGAAGTGGGCAGGGGGACGCATGCGGACCCTGCCGCTGGGGCCTTCGGTGGACTCTATGGGGCCACGATCCTCGTGAAGGGTGTGCCGAATTGGGCGGGGGGACGCATGCGGACCCTGCCACTGTCGTCTTCGGTGGAGCTCTCTATGGGGCCACGAACCGTGTGAGGTGTGTGTCAGCAGGGGATGGGCATGCGGAGAACAGAGGCAAATCATGCGAGGAGGGAGGAGGGGGAGGAAGGACGGAGGCGGGAACGCGGGGCGCTGTCTGTTCAAAACGAGGACCCAACACCACAGGATGGTTGGGAATGAAAACAAGAAATCAAAATATCAGAGTGAGGGGGCTGAGCCGAACGGTCATTCACTGTCCCTGGATGCGTGGCTGAAGTGGAATTCCGCGATGCGGATTATTGTTGATGTTGTTGTTGTTGTTGTTGTTGTTGTTGTTGTTGTTGTTGTTGTTGTTGTTGTTGTTGTTGTTGTTGAACTTTCATTCTGAAGAATAATTATTGCTGATCCCCCCCCCGTCCGGTGCACATTGCTTTTTCTCGATTGAAGTACCCTTCCCGGGGTTCGCACCCTGTTTTTTGTCAGGGAAAACCTTGAGGGTCAAACTGCGTCGTTGGCCCCCGGGTTACAACAACAATGGCTCCCGCCTGAGACTTCCTTGCAATTTAGCCAGGGCCCCCGCTCCCGCCCGAGACTTCCTTGCATTTTATTCAGGAATCGCGCTCTCGCTTGGCACTTCCTTACAGTTTATTCCGGAATCGCTCTCCCGGCGCTCTGGAGTCGCGCTCTCGCTGGAGACTTGCTTGCAAGTTTCTGAAGAATAGCGCCCTTGCGTTGGACACTCTTGCAATTGACTCAAGCGCCGAGCTCCCGACACCCAGGCACCCAGGAGTCGCGTTCACTTTCAGGACTCCCTCACAGATTACCTAAGAATCGGGATCTCACTGTCCTTCGTGGCCCCGTTGCAGTCCTTCGTGGCCCCCTCGCTTTGTTTCGTGGCCCGTTGCAGCCCTTCGTGGCCCCCTCGCTTTGTTTCGCGGCCCCGTTGCAACCCCTCGTGGCCTCCTCGCTGCCCTTCGTGGCCCCGTTGCAGCCCTTCGTGGCCCCCTCGCTTTGTTTCGAGGCCTCGTTGTAGCTCATCGTGGCCCCCTCGCTGCCCTTCGTGGCCCCGTCGCAGCCCTTCGTGGCCCCGTTGCAGCCCTTCGCGGACCCCTCGCTGCCCTTCGTGGCCCCCTCGCTGCTTTTCGTGGCCCCATATATGTATGCCCAACGTGGCCCCCGCTCGTTCGCGCCCGTGGTGGCCCCATATGCATGCCCTTCGTGGCCCCGCTGTCGCCCTTCGTGGCCCCCTCGCTGCCCTTCGTGGCCCCGTTGCTGCCCTCAGTGGCCCCGTCCTTGCCCTCCGCGGCCCAATATACGTATGCCCTGCGTGGCCCCCGGTCGTTCGCTCCCGTTGTGGCCCTATGTGCATGCCCTTCGTGGCCCCGCTGTCGCTGTTTCTTCAGTGGCCCCGTCGTTGCCTTCTGTGGCCCCGAGTGATCTGCCCTTCGTGGCTCCCGCCCGTTCGCGCCCGTCGTGGCCCCATGCGCATGCCCTTCGTGTCCATGCCCTTCGTGGCGCCCGCTCGTTCGCGCTCTTCGTGTCCCCATACGCATTCCCTTCGTGTCCCCGCTGTCGCCCTTCGTGGCCTACGTCGTGTCCTTGTGGCCCTGCTGTCGTTCTCTCTCGCTATCGCTTTCGCTCGTCGTCGTCGTCGCCGTCGCCGTCGTCGTCGTCGCCGTCGCCGTCGTCGTCGTCGTCGTCGTCGTCGTCGTCGTCGGTCCCCTGTCCGTCCTCTTGTGGTCGGGTCGACGGTCCGCGGCCGCCCCGCCGATCAGCGCTGCCGCTGGCCAGGCCGACGGTCCGCGGCCGCCCCGCCGCTTGCCAGGGCCCGGCCTGCAGGGAAGAAAGGCATACCCCCCAAAAGGGGTTCGATCGAAGACGAAGAGGGCGGATATCGAGGGTTTGGGAAATACGCGTTATTAGACACTCGAGCAAATGAGGGCGAACAGTCTTAAAATGATTGTTGTTGTTGCTGTTGTTGTCGCTGTTGGTATTGTTTGTTGTTGTTGTTTGTTTGTTTGTTTGTTTGTTTGCTTGCTTGTGTGTTTGTTTGTTTGTTCGTTTGTTTGTTTGTTTGTTTGTTTGTTCCCCATATCCTAAGATGGGGTTCTTGTTATTACTTGGACGCCTCCTACTCCCTCTCCTTCTCCCTCTTCCTCTTTCCTCCTCCCCTTTGTCGGACTTACTCATACTCAGACTTGCTCATACTCAGACTTACTCATACACAGACTTACTCATACTCAGGCTTGCTCATACTCAGACCTACTCATACTCAGACTTACTCACACTCAAACATACTCATACACAGACTTACTCATACACAGACTTACTCACACCCAGACGTACCCATACACAGACTCACTCATACCCAGACTTACTCATACACAGTATTAGTCATACTCAGACTTACTCATACCCAGACGTACACATACGCAGACTTTCTCATACACAGACCTACCCATACCCAGACTTACTCATACACAGACTTACTCATACACAGACTTACTCATACCCAGCATACTCATTTTCAGCACCCCTAAGGGGAGCCGCCAGGGGTGTTTGCACGGGCTCGTTCGCGGCCATTTTGTGGGGATGTCTCACGCGGTTTGCTTGTTCCTGGGCTCAACATCCTTCGCTTGGAGAGCAGATTGTGAGGATGTCTCAGGCGGGGCGCTGGTTTCAGCACCCCTAAGGGGAGCCGCCAGGGGTGTTTGCACGGGCTCGTTCGCGGCCATTTTGTGGGGATGTCTCAGGCGGTTTGCTTGTTCTGGGCTCAACATCCTTCGCTTGGAGAGCAGATTGTGAGGATGTCTCAGGCGGGGCGCTGGTTTCAGCACCCCTAAGGGGAGCCGCCAGGGGTGGTTGCACGGGCTCGTTCGCGGCCATTTTGTGGGGATGTCTCAGGCGGTTTGCTTGTTTCTGGGCTCAACATCCTTCGCTTGGAGAGCAGATTGTGAGGATGTCTCAGGCGGGGCGCTGGTTTCAGCACCCCTAAGGGGAGCCGCCAGGGGTGTTTGCACGGGCTCGTTCGCGGCCATTTTGTGGGGATGTCTCAAGCGGTTTGCTTGTTTCTGGGCCTAACACCCTTCGCTTGGAGAGCAGATCGTGAGGATGTCTCAGGCGGGGCGCTGGTTTCAGCACCCCTAAGGGGAGCCGCCAGGGGTGTTTGCACGGGCTCGTTCGTGGCCATGTTGTGGGGATGTCTCAGGCGGTTTGCTTGTTTCTGGGCTCAACATCCTTCGCTTGGAGAGCAGATTGTGAGGATGACTCAGGCGGGGCGCTGGTTTCAGCACCCCTAAGGGGGGCCGCCAAGGGTGTTTGCACGTCTTACATATCCCACTGCCAACTATCCTAAAACATATGCACATATGGGAAGCTCCAAAGCTACCACGGGCTGAAAAGGGGAAGGCCTGGCAGCTGAGGAGGGGGGATGAAGAGGAAGAGGCTCGCATTCAACCGTGCTCAAAGCTCACTCTGGCTCGTACGCAATCACTCGCATTAGGGGTCACTCGTCTTCGTCGGCCCTGTCGCCCACGTGGACGCGCTGTTGTAGTCGACTGCTCATGAACAGACGCTCACCACGGCATGACATAAAACATGAGATGCACATATGGGGAGCTCCACGCAGTGAGTAATTGTTTGTTGTCGTCGTCCCACCCGCGACCCGCCCCGCGACCCACCCACGACGCACCCCGCGATCCACCCGCGACCCACCCGCGACCCACCCCGCGACCCACCCGCGACCCACCCGGCGACCCACCCGCGACCCACCACCCGCGACCCACCCCGAAACCCCCCTGGCGACCCACCCGCGACCAACTGGCGACCCACCCGCGACCCACCCAACTGGCGACCCACCCGCGACCCACCCGCGACCCACCCCGCGACCCACCCGCGACCCACCCGCGACCCACCCGCGACCAACCGCGACCCATCCGCGACCCACCCGCGACCCACCCCGAGACCCACCCAAAATTTTCGGCGCCTGCGGCGGGTTTCTTTTGCATTCGTTCCAGGTGGAGAACCTGCGAACCACCCGCGACCCACCAAAAATTTTCGGCGCCTGCGGCGGGCTTTTTTGCGTGGAGAACCTGCGACCCACCCGCGACCCAAACCGCGTTCAGTGTACAAATCAACATTTTCGAATTTTCGGCGTCTGCGGCGGGCTGCTTTTGAATTCCTTCCAGGTGGAGGTGGAGAGCCCGCGACCCACCCGCGACCCAAACTACGTTCACTGACCAAGCCAAAACTTCGGCGCATGCGGCGGGTTTCTTTTGCAGTCGATCCAAATGGAGAACCTGTGACCCAAACCGCGTTCAGTGTACAAATCAACAATTTCGGCGCCTGCGGCGGGCTCTTTTTGAATTCCTTCCAGGTGGAGGTGGAGAGCCCGCGACTCACCCGCGACCCAAACTACGTTCACTGAACGTTCACTGAACGCGCCAAACAACGTCCACTGAACGGCTCGACGCCCGCGTCGCCCGCGCCCGCCCCCTCACTCTTATCCGCAACTGCGGGGTGCTGCGTATTCAACAACAATCAAAATTAGCCTTAAGAAGGACCCAACCATATGCAACTGCGAGTGCCGCATTGTGGGTTCCGCTTTCGGTGGAGCTCCCTACAGGGCCACGAAGCAGTCCTGGGTGGCGGTGACGCCTGCGGACCCTGCCACTGGAGCCTTCGGTGGAGCTCCCTATAGGGCCACGAAGCGCTGTCCTGGGTGGGTGAAACGCAGGGAGGTGACGAGGCGGATGGGAGGAGGAAGGAGGGGCAGGAGGAGGGGGAGGAGGAGGAGAGGAGGGACGCGGGGCGCTGCCTCGTCACAACGAGGACCCAACACCACAGGATGGTTAGGAAAACAGCAGTCGAACAATCGTCCCCCTACGAGTTTGAGCCACTGTTCGTGAGTCTTCCTCCTGCAGAGGGACATGCCCGACGTGAGTACTGCTCACATCGGGCCAGGCGAAAGGGGGGGATAGCAAAGGGGGGTTGTTTGAGAATCAGCTCGCGCAGCTGATTTTCCCGGCGTCTCCCGGCGCCGGAGGCGGCCATGCATCGAGGAATGGGCCCCTCGGTGAGGCCGAAACCAGCTGCACGCAGCAAATTTCGTAACCCCCCCTTTCCCAATCCCCCCATTTCGTCCGGCCCGATCACAGCGGCGAGAGCAAGGGGCGCGAGGGCCTCAGGCCCCTCCGGGGCCTTAAGGCCCCGGCCGAGCTCCCGGAGCGTGCCGCCCTGAGCGCTCGAATTCGCGACCCTCGGCGGTCGCGTTTTTCGCCCCGCGCCAGGCCGGGCCTTAGCTGCCCCGACACGCAGCACGCAACACGTATCGTCGGAGGTGAGGTACGGAGCTCAACACGTCGGGTGAAAACGTGGGTCCAACGCGATACATTCGCCAAAACGTGGTCCAACACGTGGAGCTAACACGCAACGTGTTGACATGGACGTCTTGAACACGGGACGTGTTGCGTTTCAAAGCGGGCGTCTCGAGGCAACCCAGGTAGGTCCCCTGCAGGCGGATTTTGAGCGACAAATCAAAACTGCTTCAAAGCATATACACCAGCAACAAATGGCATTGAAACATCCTCCCCCTACGATTTTGTTCTGACCCTTTCTGAATGTTCCTCCTGTGGAGGGACACGCCCGACTTAAGCCCAGCGCCCGTGTCCAGCTTCTTCATGCCCGCCCAGTGGCCCCCCGACTCCGCGCCCGGCCCATGCAGAGGAAGAGAGAACGCCACAACCACAAACTCGGGGCGCTCCGCACGGAGTTCTCGGCTCCGCGCCGGGCCCCACCTTCCTGGCGCGCAGGAGGCGCCGCCAGGGGGAGGCCCCAGCGCGGATCCGAGAAATCCGCGCGGAGCGCCCACAATTTCTGTCTATGGCGTTTCCTCTTCGACAATTGCCCAGATGCAGGGACACCTCGGGCGCGGCCTAACCGACCCCTCGCAAACCATCCCCTTCCGTGGCGTGATCCCCGCCTCTCGAATTCCCCTCCGGCCGCATACGTATACGTCTTGGGGCGAGGCGAAGGGGACGTCACGGAAGGGGCTGGTTTGCCAGGGGTCGGTTCCCAGACATGCGACATCCTGATTTTGGACGCCCGAAATTGGTACGGACAAAAATGAGTACAATGCCCAACAACAAATGTTGTCCCAAACCAACAGCGGCCGCTGTTGGGCAGGCGGCCTCCTGCCTCGAATGGACACAGGCCGCGGCGGCGTGGACAGCGAACCCTGTCCAGAATGAGCAGGAACTGCTGCTGGGCATTGTACCCATTCCTTCCGTACCCATTTCTAGGAAGGCACCAACTATACACCAACACCGATCCTGGCCAGGATCACCCTGGGCCCAGGATCGGTGTATACGCCCTCCTGCCTTGCGCAAGAAGGCACATACACCGATCCTGGGCCCAGGGTGATCCTGGGCCAGGATCGGTGTTGGTGTATAGTTGGTGCCCTCCGAATTTCGGGCGTCCAGACTGCTCTCTTCCACACGGACGGGGTCCCTGGAAATCCCGACCCTTCCACCCCGGGACCGGCTCTTCCTCCGGAGCCGTGCTGCTGACGGCCCTGGGGCCCGGCGAGGGGCCCCCCGCCCAGGCCGGACTCCGCCAGAAACCTCCCGCCAACGGCTGTCTTCCACGACCGCGACCGTGGCACCTCTCCGCAACCTTCGGGCAACTTTCCGCCACAATTCGGCAAATTCCGCAGAAGATCGGGCCGGGCGAATGGGGGGGATAGCAAAGGGGGGGGTTGACAATCAGCTCACGTAGCTGATGTTCCCGGCGCCTCCCGGCGCCGGAGGCGACCATGCATCGAGGTATATGGGCCCCTCGGTGAGGCCGAAACCAGCTGCATGCACAACAAATTTCGTAACCCCCCCGTTTCCCAATCCCCCCCTTCCGTCCGGCCCGAGAAGCACGCGCGTGTCTGGGCCCGGCCGCCCCAGTGGTGGGCCTGTTTTCCACCACCACCACCATAAGTGGGAGGGGGAGGGTGCCCTCCTCCTCCTCCTCCTCCTCCTCCTCGTCCTCCTCCTCGACCTCCTTCTTCCCCCCTCCAACTTATGGTGGTGGTGGTGGAAAACGCTCCCATCAAGAGCGCCTCGCCGAACGCCGTCAGCAGCCGGCCCGCTCCGGGGCCCGCCCGCGCGTAGAAGGCCACGAGCCAGTCCCGGGCGGCGCCGCCCGCCGCCGGGTAGCGGCCCTCGCAGAGGGGGGCGACGCGGCCGGGCGCCGCGAGGGAGGCGGACGGGCACGCGGGCCGCTGCTGCAGCTGCGCCTCCAGGTGGAGGAGGAGGGAGGAGGAGGAGGAGGAGGAGGAGGAGGAGGAGGAGGAGGAAGAGGAGGAGGAGGAGGAGGAGGAAAAGGAGGAGGGGAAGGAGGAGGAGGAGGAGGAGGAGGAGGAGGAGGAGGAGGAGGTGGAGGAAGAGGAGGGGGAGGAAGAGGAGTATAACGGGAGGAGCAGGAAAAGGTGGACGGGGAAGGGGTGGGGGAGCGGGGGAGCCGGAGGGGTGACCCTGTTTCAGCTGCGCCTGCACTAGCCGCTCGATGGCCTCCCAGTCGTGCCGCGGGTACTTTCGTTTCCGCATGTCCTCAGAGGGTCAGAGAACCTACCCCCATAATGATCACCCCGACACGCGAGGCTGTTTAGTGAACGCACCAGCAAGGAAGGAATCGAACAGGGCCGGGCTGTTTCATAAACGCCAGGGCCGTCTAGCAAACGCCGATTCACGGGTCCGGGTAGTTGTTCCTCCGTGGGATCCTTCTTCTCCGTCATGTTGAGCTTGCCCCGCTGGACGATGCGCAGCGAGGGCACTGCGTCGACCGAGTGGCGAGGGTGGCAGAAGCCCTTGTAGTTGACCCGCCAGAAGCAATCCACGGCCCCCACTGCCACGCCGGGGTCGTCCTCGAGCTCCTTCGCGAGCTGAACGAAGCGGTCCTTCACGGCACTGCACTCTGGGCAGGCGTGGGACGTGAACAACACCAGCCACAGCTTCTCGTCTGGCAGGGCAAGAGGTCGCACCCAGACAGCCCCCCAGATACTCCTGGCTGCCCTCCACCGACGCCCGCGCTCCAGGGTTGGGGTGGAGACGACCTCGGACCACCGGTTCTACCATGGGCTTGTTTGAGCTACTGGTCCAGGGAGGCGGGGAATGTCAGAGGAGGAGGGGGGGATGGTCGGGGTCGCCTGTGGACGGAATTGGCAGCAAATGGAACCCACGCTCGGAACCTATCCACATCCGCCGATTTGGAAACGCGCACCCGGAGACCTTCCCTTGCGGAGCGTTTTATGAGGTTCTCC